GCATTGGGCTGAGATGTCCACACAATCGCATGCAAAGCTCTTTGATTTGATAAATTGATTCTAAAAGATTCAGTGTGGTTGTGTCATAGGCACAGCCAAGAGGGCAAGAAACAGGCATTGCATTGCCTTGTTTCTGCACAGAACTTGTCCTTTGAGGTTTTTAAGAAGATAGATTTGACAAGGTAGGAGGCTTGAACATATTTTATTTTAGAGCTTATTAATTTGATTTATAACTTTAAAATATATAGACATGTATTGTGTGGACATCTATCTGTACCCTTGTTCTGAGTCTCACAAGTATTTGTGGGATAGTTACCATCTATTGTATGAACCAAAAAATGAGGTATGGTTCCTAAAGTAGTATGTCTCATAGAGCTTTGCCTGTCCTACAGGTCTCAAGATATCACTAATTCTTCAACAAAAATACAATAGCTAATAATAAGTTTATAAGAGATGCATTTCCTGTACAGTATGAGAGTAAAATAATTTTTTATTCACAAAAAGTTATGAAAGAGCAGTGTTTACACCAATCTATCAAGACTGATGTCTTATATCTTTATCAGGATTCACTTGTCCATAAAAAATGGTTCTTTGCCAAGCAAAGCAAAGAGAGGAGCTTGATTTATTTTTGTGACTTTTTTCCATTTAGAATAAAAATCATAGTGATATATAAAAGGCTATTCCTATTGCTTAAAGTATATAAATGACTGTGATCAAACTTATTCAACTCTCATTTCAAGAACTAAGATAACTGACCCAATTGTTCAGTGATGGGATCTGAAGGACGTTATTTGAATTCTTTCAGCGTTATGTACCTTTAAACATTATCATGAATATACTCTTTTTTATTTCCCTTAGCTTCATTCAGACCAAGATAAAGGAGATGGATCACTCAAATATATTTTATCTGGAGATGGAGCTGGTACCCTTTTTATTATTGATGAAAAAACAGGTGATATTCATGCCACAAGAAGAATTGATAGGGAGGAAAAGGCCTTTTATACTCTACGTGCACAAGCTATTAACAGAAGAACTCTGAGGCCAGTAGAACCAGAGTCTGAGTTTGTGATCAAAATCCATGATATCAATGACAATGAGCCAACATTCCCAGAAGAAATTTATACAGCTAGTGTTCCTGAAATGTCCGTTGTAGGTAAGTTCATTTATAACATTTATGATGGTCTTCTATTAAAAAAGTATTTTTAAAAAATCAAGAAATCCTTATCATAGTATGATCAATTAGTTGAAATCTTTGAATCCTTACCAAAAGTACATAGTTAATTTTTTCTTTTAGGAAACAGGAAAAAAAGATTAATGCATTTTACTCTATGGATTTGTACATCTTTACAATACATATAGGTAGATACTTTTCCCCCAAATCAAGAAAATATCATTGAACTTCAGTAGAAAATTGTAAAAATGTAATTTTTTTGTTACATAGATTAGGATAA